TCCCTTTAAAGGAAAGACAAGATGGTAAAAATCTATGTGTAAATATAACAACTGCTGATTTAAGCTGTGGTGTAAAGGGTGTCTGGTTATTATAAAGAAGAGACAGTGAATGAAATGGCAGGAATGGAAAAAAAAAATGCGTATATTGGAAGCTTCTATGAAGGGAAATATTGCAGCTTGGGGAACAAGGATAACTATTAAAAGCAATCATCTTAATCTTATCTTCAGGAGGTAACACAGTAAACGGAGTATCCCATTGCAACCTTATAGATACTGATCTATCTACATTACATGTGTGTGTATTTATGAGTATCATTTCACGCACTTACAAAAGACACCGCACAATGTGGGGAGAGGTGAATTGCTGGCAAACTCACATAAACTGTCCTGTGGGATCTGGGCCTTACTACAGGGCCTTCAGTATCTACCCTTGTCACCATGTCACCAGTAAGACAAGGGATTGGAAAAACCATCAGCAAATAAGTGAAAAAGTAAACAGTCATAGAAGGATGATTAATCACCAAGGTCACAAACAATCAAATACCATCCAACTATGAGCCTATTGTATGTATTTATAAAAAGAAAAATGTTCTCAGAACAATGATGTCCTTAAGGCCACAGGGCAGCTACACATGAAAACACACCCAGTTGCAACGGTGTTTATGCTGTGTTAAGTGCTGTCCATGTGGTTGCACGTAGCGTACATCCTGCCAAGTACAGCACCTTGTCAGGGATGGACTCACCTGCTCTCAAGCTCCTCTGAGGCCAGAGCAGATGTTGCCACAGCACAGCCTCAGCAGCGGCAGGTCACTGTGACCAAACCCAGAGATGGGACCAACTGCTGCACTCACAGGAGTTTGAGATACTGCTGTAGAATCAGCATATTAACCGTACTGGCCCCATTACAGGGGGCCAACACAGTCCAAGGGGTGGAAAATCATAGACTACAGCCAAAAGCACCATCCACATGAAAAAGCCCCAGAGAAATAATGTGTAGTAAACCCCTCAACTCAAGAACCAAAGTACTGCCCAGTAAGTTACAGCAGGTAAATAAATTAATAAATCAGACTACAAGGACTATATGCAAAGTAGTACCTGTGAACTGATGCCAAAAATACCTCTGCCTTCTGGTGTATGGCTGACAGCTTGTCACAAGTCACGCTGAATAATGTCAACATGCGGAAGGAGAATTGGCAGCACTGGGATGCCCTTAATTGGACGGCTTATCAGTAATAAAAACTGAAAAGCAGCATGCGGTTTAGAAATGCAAGTGTTAAGATCAGCATTAACACATCATCCAGACGACAAGGCCAGTAGCCAGGGCTCAGGCTACTGCCCGATGGTGATGCTTTTAGCTCCACTGCTCTCCGTTCTACTCCTGTTCTCACATCCACTATTGGGTTCACTTGTTGCTACGTTTGTATTATGGTATTATAGTAATCACTTTGCATATAAGAGCCTTTCTACTAGCCAAAAAGCTTGCTTACTGATGTAACCAGCAAATTACAGTGTCTTTAGGAAAAGGTAGTTAACTGTATGTGCATCAAGGGGTGGAGTGTAGTAGTAACCAGAAGACTATTGCACATCGAGGAGTTAGCGATCCACATAAGTTGAGATGAGAAGCTGCAGGCCTCTGCTGCACATATCACCTGGCCACAGGATAAACTTAGCCAGCTAATCCTAACTGGGGAGCCTGCAGGTGGCTCCCACGTGGCAACCTGGTGATACCACAACCTGTGCAGCTGCCAGGGTCCGCCTCTGGGAGAGGGCAATCCTGGGCAGATTGCTCTTTGTGACAGGGAGACTGTAACATGGAAGCCCAGCCCTGTTCAGGGAAGAGCCAAACTTGTAATACTTCATTTTTGTTTGAATTCTGTTTCCAGCCTGAGGCTCCCGCAAACTAGTATTTCTTCCCAGAGTTACTCACATAGGAGGCATTTCATACTCACTTTCCTCCCTCTCTGCATGGTTGTGGTTGGCAGCATAGCCAGCCTTACTTCTGTTTCTTGTAGCTGTGCCACAGCTGCTGCCACTTGACACACACACCTGGATCTGGGATTACATTTTGATTTTTATTGAAATACAAAAAGTGCAAACTGTGAAATATAAGATCGGTGCAGATTAGAAGGAATTAAACAATGTGAACCGTGAAAACCCCAGCCCTGCACCTGATGAACATCAACAGAAAATAAGGCAGGGAATACCAGCAACAAAAGCAAAGCCAAAAATTTTGCACAGGAGCCCCCATGCATAAAAGAGGAAAGAGGGACCAAACTGGCCCTCAGCTCTCTCTCAAATTAGCAAACGTTGCCACAAGGCATCCAGATGGCCCCAGCCCTCCCTGCACCACCCAAAAGCTGTGTGTGTGTCAGCACATAGCTTGGGCCAGGGAGCAGGGAGTGATCAGAGGCTATTAAGACAGCAGGAGGCTTAGCAGAGGGGAATGGTCTAGGTGCTAAAAAGCAGAGGGTTGAAGTGGAACAAGTACCCCCACAGGGAGAAATGGCTAATAGCTAACCTGAAAGACGAGCAAGGGAAGAGACCCTTGGGCAGCTCTACAGCAAGGAGAAAACCGACAAAGACCAGCACCCTAGTCAGATACTGCCCCCCACCTATACATGGCAGAGAAACCCAGCCCAGCCAGCCCCCTGCCTCAGCGAGGAGGCTGACCAGGTGAGGAGGAAATTTAACCCCCTGGGCTTGGCTGCACCTAGTGCAGGCTGCAGGCAGGCCCAGGCCAGTTCCTTGCTCAAGTCACAGGAGGGATATTGCAATACAAGGCATTCAGGAGAGCAGACTGCAGAAGCAAAAGCAACCCTGGTTACTGTGCCTGCTCCAGGGCCCCCAGCAGCTCCAGCATGAGGAGCAGCAGAGGAAAGGGGATATTTACACTGGGTCCCTTCCAAGATTTGCAAGCACTTTCCCACCATGAGCAGTAGCAGCTTCCTGAACACCCTCCAAATCTGCTCCCTGCAGGCACTGAACTGGAGCAGGCTTTTTTCCCTGCCTGCAGGGGATGCACCAGTCTCCATTTTGCTAAAAAAGGAAACATTATTTCAAGAATTCACAGAAAAAAAAGCACCCACTGAACAAACTCCAGTCAGAACCGACACTTGTGGCAATCCCTGCTCTCCCCCTGGAGAGGAACTAAGCTACCCCAGCACTGCTCCTCTCGCTACTGGGCAGGGAACAGTCCTTGCTGCTCTGCAGGGCTGGAACGTGCCACCCTCCCCAGGGAGCCGGGGCTGCACATAGGGCCGAGGCCTCGTGCCCCAGCACACAGGCACTTCCCATTCCAAGTTGCTGACCTTGGGCTTGTTTGTCCCAGGAGAAGTTAGCTGGGTTTGCCTTTCCTCTAGGGAGATATAAGCGAGGCCAGTGTCAGCTGCAGATACACTCAGAGCTCCAAGTCTCCCCCCATACTGAAGCCTACACAGAGCAGGGTGCCTGCACTGGGCTCCCTCAGCCTCCACGCTTCTCCCACGCTGTCCAGAAAGCCTTGCCTCTTAAAAGAAGCACTGGGGCAAGTACACTTCTTTCCACACTGTCCATCCTAGGAGATTACTCCTCCACAGCACATCAGCTCTGCTAACCTACTCTAGCAGAGATCACAGGTGAATTAGGAGCTGAGTATCTCTACCTCCAAAACATTTATTTGGTTACTGCTGTGAATTGTTCAGGCTGAAACAATTCATACCCTGGCCAAACAGGGAAGACTCCTACTCTTGGAAGAGGAAGACTAAGCAGCCTTGCAGCCTCCATAGGGCAAAGTCCCCCAGTATCTAGAAGGAATCAGACCCAGCCCTCTCCTAGAACATCTCTTGCTCCAGCCCTAGTAATGCTCAGTTTCTTGCTCACTGTTCCCACCCACGTGTTGGTGTGCCTCCTCCGAGCCAGCTGGCTGGACCTGCGCTGCCCTGCAACACTGCCTATGTTCGCACCCATCCCCATTCCAAAGCTTAGCAAAAAGAGCAATTTCCAAAATAACTGCAGCAGATGTCACTTATTTTGATTACAACTGGGGCACCGACCTTTGGTCAGTGTTTAAAGCCAGGCTAAAATATTATGAAAAAGCAAATTCTATTTAGCATCCAGTAGCTTTTTAAAAATTAGTTCTGCTTGGTCCAAAAGATTTGTCCCTGTGGCCAGATGCAGCAGGGAGGACTGGCCCAGGCACACAGGGCACAAGATATAAAGATATAACACACCAGTAAAGTAAGGCTAGAAGCTCCCTACTAACACCCTGCTGGGCCCAGGCTAAGGAGAGGGATCTCTTTTAGCTCAGGTAACGGGAATGCTGCAACCCGAAACCAACAGTGATGCCCTAACGGTATTGCAGCTGCTTTGGGAAGGTGCCAGGCCCACCCCACTCTGAGCCTGCCTTGCGGACAACCTGATCTCTCCAGCCATGCCCAGTGCATACAGGATGCATCTGACCAGGCTTCCATGGTAGGATGGAAGGAAGGTATGAACTGAGGAGGAGACGGGGCAAAGGCCCTTGGCATGGAATAGCTGTTCCCTCACAGCTTTGGCACATGAGTGCTCAGCACCTGGGCAGAAATTTGTAATCCAGGCCTGGTGCACTCCAGGGTGAGGGTTAGCCCCAGTCCCTAGACCTTCCCTCAAGGCCATGCTCTCTGTTACACTGTGCTGGGGAGAGTTCTGCTGAAAAAGACAACTAGCCAAGGCGGTCTGTGCCAGTCAGCACAGATACACATGCCTGACGGAGGAGAAGAGGCCTTGTGCTGCTGCCACAGGGAAAGGCAGTGATCCTCATAGTGTTCAGCAGTTCAGCGCCACTAGAGCACTTGCTTCCTGCCATTCAGACTCACCAGCTGTCAAAGGGCCCCAGCCAGCCCCCCCGCACAGCCAGATCTGGCATGAACCTTCCCAGCCGGGCTGGAAATGCTGCTGGAGGGACAAACACACCTGAGCTGGGTAACTATGGGAGACACCTCACCCACTACACCCCAGCAAACACTGAATAGTATCTGGAGTGGGTGACCCCAGAGGGGTTTGGGCTAAATTCAGCTTCCTTGTATTGGAGTCTGACAGGTAATACAGCCCACGTGCTGTGAGCCTGTCCTTCACTTACCTGCCAAAAGCATGGGGTCTAGAGTGGTGTTTGCAAGTGCAGGACATGCTGCTACCTGAAGCACAAGGGCTGCCTGGCTCCCTTCTCTGCTTTAGGTGCCTCTGGGGAAAGGCAGGATGCACGTTCAGTGCTGAGAGATGGCACTCGCAGCAAGAACACCTCTGCCACAAAACCCAGCCAAGCCTGCCCTAGCCCAGACAAGCCAGCTGAGGCAAGGGGGGTGAGCTGGGGCTATTGGGAGCTTAAACAAAAAAGATCTTTGCTGAGGAAGGGACCAGGAGGGCAGAAAAACTGCATGTGAGGGAAGGAGGAAAGGAAGGCAGGGCATCTGATAGGGCAGCAGACTGGTGATGAGCCCTGGAGGAGCTGCACAGACTGGCAGGTGGGTTAGGACTCCACTCTCAGCAGCTGGGAGACCAGCTCCCCCCCATCTGGAGCAGCAGGTCTCCTGCTCACTTACTTACACACTTTCTCCACCATCTCCACAGCCCTCGCTCTGCTCATCACCCAGAGGATCAATGGTCCCTTTGCACTGGAGACAGCTTGGTCACAGCTCCAAGACAAGGTGGGAAAAAAGGTGGGAAGGTGGGCACAGTGTGCTGGTGTGGACTGGCCTGGATTCAGGCCTCCACATCCTCAAAGAGCTCCTTCTGGTGGTCCAGCAGGAACTTGGTAAAGGTATTGATGGGGTTGATGGCTTTTAGGGTGATGGCTACATCTTTGGCCCACAGCAGATTTGGGCCAAACACAACTGCCAGGTTGGTGTTTGTCATCTTGTTCCTGTCACTGTGAGCAGAGACCTATGTGGGAAGGAAAAAGACCACTGTGAATCCTAGAGAACAACAGAGCAACTGCCCGCTGCCCTCTACCCTCCCCAAAGCCAGAGCTGACAGACTCCCAAGGGCAAATGGGAGGAGAGAAGCCAAAGGCCCAATGCCAGAAGACGGCTGGGGGAAACACACATGACATCCAGCATTCAGGAGGTGAGGAACAATATCTGGCAGTTTGCCACTATGGCTTAACCACCAGGCCATATCGTAACAATAGGACCAAGAGCACTGTCAGCCAATACCTCTACAGTCCACATCACCACTCAAAACAAAATTATCTTCCCTCTTGCTAGAATAGCCTTGCAGTGGCTCCCCTGGCAGCAGAAAGTTCTGTAGGGCGGATCTGAGACCCCTCTTCTAGTCTAATCTTCTACTCAGATATTTTGCAGTTGTACCTCCACCCTGGGGAGCTTTCAGCCTCCCTGGTACAGACCACACAGGCTTAAGGCCCACCCGCACCTCTCAGCATTATGAGAAGCAACTGCTTAGGCTAGTTCATCATGATCATTCTTGATCTCTGTTTAACAAGAACATAAGGTAAAGAAAGGCAATTTCCTAGCTTGAGACTCATTTTCTCCCAAAGGAAAAGAGGGAGCAGGCAGTCAAAAAGCTGATGCAAGGCACTGGCAACTGAACTAGAATACAACTGCCCACCTTTGGAGCAGCTCACCTGCACCAGAAAGGCTGTCAGTAAATGGAGCACTTGGTAGTTTTCTTCTGGCAGAGTCTGGAGTGTTTTGCGAACAACATCCACACGATTCTCCTCCTCCACACCTAAAAATCAAGAGAGACAGGGCAAGCAGGTCCATGAGGAATCCTCAGCACCCACCCTGATGAAAGCCCTGTTTGCAGTCACAGGGTATCCCATGCAGGACTGTCCCCCCCGAAGATATCATTGACCTTGGCCAGTGCAACATTCAGGGAGTAGCACACTCTTGTTACAACTCACTCTGGAAGCTGACAACATGGCTGTAGAGGTCAAAAGTGAGGAGGGGCTCAGGTAGCTCCCTTAAGAAGGTCTTGAGAATCACAGCAGGGAGGTGGACATCTTCATACTGCTGGAAATCTACAGGCACACCTGAGAAAGTAGAGCAGAGAGTCAGTGCTCACTGGCCAAAGTAGGACCTCCTCCAGACAAAGAATGGGACATGGTGGTCAGAGCCCAGAACTAGGGAAGCAGTATTTTAAAGAAGAACACAGAGAGGGTACTGAAGCACCACATCTTCTAGCAGAGTGGAAAAATGTGTCCCAAAAGCATATGCAAAGCACTGCTGAATCCAGCGCTACATCTTTAGAAGTCATCAAATGAAACAGATGACCAAGTTTCTTCCTGGTCATCTTCAGTCCCTCCAGTATAAACAGACTAAGATGGTATATCCCACCCCAAGAAACAGGGAAATTTTCAGGAAGGAAAGGGGCAGTGAGTGGAACATGAGTGGGAAGGAATATGCTTTCCACACAGCAAAAGTATCAGATGCTTCTCCCTTGCAACTCAGGTCATACCCTGATGGGGCCTCACCTAAAGGCCTATTAGAGAAGGAGAGGAGCCATGGTGGACCAGTTCCAACACAGTTCCAGTTGGACAGTAGTAGTTAGGGAATGAGAGGGGCTCTGCTGAGTTTGGGCACTCACCCATGTTGTATTTTTGCTGGACCTCCCTGACAACCTGTGTATTTGCTGATCTCCGGAAAATACCCTCTGTAGCAAGAGCTGTGAAGTAAGAGCAGATGGAGAAGAAAGATCAACCATAAGAGAGTCTCCAAAAATGCTGGTCTTAACAATCATAAATCCATGCTGTGGGGCGTTCAGACAGATGTCAACAAGTCCCTTTTTTAGAGTACGGCAATTCTTTCTGCTTCCACTACGAGGCAAAGGATACAAGGAGCATTTTGATACTCTCATACAAGTGGGAGTATGGATGAGTGGAAGAAAGAGGTCTCCTAAGCCCTGCACAATCTCTCTTGAAGGCTAACTCACCTAGTTCAGGCCTTTACACCTTATTCTAGACTGCTGTTGTTCTTTTTCTTACCACACTCTGGAAGGGAACTTGGGTGGAGGAGAGGCCACTGACATGGAATTAAGAGGGGTTGCAGGTTCCCCTGAACACTTACCATGCTCCTGCAAATGAGCAATGGTGTCTCTGACCACCAGAGGAACAGGAGACTGATCAGGGCTCTTCTCCCTGAGACTGCGGGAAGAGACAAAAGGTAACAAATGACTGGTCCTCCCTGCCCCGCATGCAGCCCCTGAGTCTTGAAGTTGCCCGCACAAGCTCTACCACATAGGATCTTGCTATCCCAGTCCCTGGTTTAGCCATTATTCCAGCCTGCTTTCCTCTTCACCCATCATGCTGCATCATTCACCAGAGCAAGTATGAGCTCACTCCTACATCACAGGAATATTTCTCTATCTTCTGTAAAAATCATAGCCTGTAGATGCAGGGCAAAGGGGTTCCCAGAAGGCAAGGCTGCTAGTTATGAATCAGGTGAAAAGGGTTAAGCTTCCTTTTTCCTTCCCCATAGGAGCAAGGGCAGAAAGAAGCTGACACATGAGAGAAATATATATGGGATAAGTTTACCCACCCCATGCCTGTAACAGAAGATCTATCAACCCAATGTTGATGGGTTGAATGCTGTCAGGGAAGACCTAGTGATGCCAAGGTGTTTGCTGCCACCCTCACATTTGATTGTCTATACCACTTGATAGCATGGAGCTGTTCACCCCACTCAGGCTACTAACAAGCTCAGGCACACAGCACCACGGGGGTTACATTTGGAAATGTTGTGTTGAAGCTGGGGAATGTGTTCCCAGATTGCTTCAGAGGATCTGTCTGGCCACACATTACTGGCTCCTCCTCATTCTCCGGGGAGGCAAAAATCACACTCAAAGTTAAAAATACCTTCAACACTTAGCCAGTATCACTAGCCCTTGCCAGTGTCCGTGTTTGTCTGTGTCACCGTGCAGGAATGGGGGGTGAGAATCATTACAAGGGTGAATGGAAGTGCTTTTAAAATAGAAGTTATGATACGGAAAAAACTAAGAAACAGATCTGCAGCACTGCTCAATCAAAATAGCATAGCCCTAAAGACAGCTCCATCAGCCTCCTACAGACTTCCTCTGCTTAAAGGAAGTTTCTAGTGGCATAAAGCCGTCCCCACGGCCCTTATTTTGCTCCTCCCTTAGTAACCCTTAGCTGCAGAAACAATCCCATCCTAATTTAGATACAATCTAGCCGGGGAATCAAGAGGGTGGAACTGAACTGAGTCACTCAGGATCCGGACATGAGCGCAGAGTTCCTCAGAAGAATGATTAAAGCTTTGTAGGAAATCTGAACTACAAGAAATTTTACATCCACTTTTGCTTCTGTTCAGTTATAAATACAGTGACCTCACCTCAAGCAAGTAAGGGCAAAAGCAACACAATCCAGAGATACTCACTGCTGGAGCGAGACTCCAAACTGCTGGTTTGGCAGTGGTGGGCGTGGGGGTGTTGGCTTCTGGGGCACTTGTGAAGGTTTCTGCAGGGATCTCAGATATTCATCATATCTGTGGCAAAACACAGACTAGTAAAAAGCCACCCCACCTCCCAGAAAGAGCATGAACCCAGCACTGCACGTGACCCACTGCACACCCTCTCATAACAGCTCCAGCCTAGCATGGTTGATTCCACCTATGCAAAAACAGGACAGGCAGCTCTGGAGCACAGGAGCAACAAAACCAAACGTCTGGTTGCCAGAAGAAAGCAGGGAGAAAGGACTATCTATCTGGAATCAGGAGCTGGAGTAGCTGAGGATGACAGACAGCATGGGCAGGAGGCCAGGACAGCACTGCTTGTGATGAGACAGTTGCACGTGTGTGTGAGGGACAGGGAATCAATCTGGTAGGACTGAGATTGTGGCACTTTGGGAAGCCCCAAGACAAGCTGAACTGTGCAGAGTGAGCAAAGCAGGTGCCCAGACGCAGCAGACGCGCACCACGAGCACCAGGTCAGTGTTAAGGTCAGCAGCTTGCAGAAAGCCCCTGAGGGCTGAGCAGGAGAGGCAGGATTGGTGCTCCACTGGAGGAGGATTTTTAACTCAAGGACAGAACTGGGCACTGGTGCCAAGGACACACAGGAAGGAGCATGCAGAGAAACAATAGTCTTTAAGGCAATTTGTCACCGCTCCCTCCAAAACCACTGCCTGAGTGGAACAATCTCCTCCTCCCCTTGCCATTCCTCCAGAAAAGTCCCCTCTCACAAAGCCCAAAGCAAATGGGAGACAGGCAGCATTCTCACTTCAGCACTTGGCTTGGGATCCCCAACTGTTCCAGCTTCACATACTCTTCCAGCTCACTAAGGAAGTTCACATAAAAAATCTTTCGTCCAAACTTAAAGCTGAAAAACAAGAGAAAAGTAGGTATGTGAGGAATCAGTAAATCCAGTATCAGAACGGATTTCTTACAGGCAAGAACAGCAGGGTTCTGCAAGAGGCATCAATGGGGCAAAGGGGCAGGTATGGCTGAGCAGCAGAGATGTCGCCCACATAGCTCTCCAACTCCATATATTTTACCAGGAGATGCCAAGACTTCCCAGTCATATTAGAAGCTCTAGCAGCAGCAGGCTCCCTGAAACGCTGGATTTCTCCTTCCTAAGTTCAGCAGTAGGCTGGAGAAAGTTTTCAATTATTTTACAGAGTTAGGATTTCAACATCAACACAATGAATTAAATATAATTTGAACTGATGCTCTCACTTCCTTTTTCATTATTAGCAGAGCCTGCAACACTTTCCTTCTACTTGGCTGGATAGAAAGGGAGCTGCACAGAGCTGCAAACTCTGTAGGTTCCCAAAGCAGTACTTCTTTTGTCTGAGTATTTCTGAGCTCAGAAACAGGAGGAGATAGCATAGGGTGAAAGACTCCAGGGTAGGCTCGGCAGCCTGGGCTCATCTTGTGCCCGACTGAGAATGCCCCATTATTCCCCTGCAGTGCGAGGATGTGGGTGAGCCTCCTATAGTGCTTCCTACCTGATCAGAGGCTTGAAGAGAATCAGCAGGGTCTTGATGAACATGGTTGGGTGCACAATATACAAGGCTTTGATGTTCTTCTTGTACCTGCCAAGAGAAGCTAAGTAAGGATGAGCTGCACTTTAAGCAGAGGAACCAACCTTTCCACAACATTAAGGCACCCTGGGTGCTCCATTCCCTTTGCACTGAGTCTCACCACTCCCCAGCACCCATGGCCTCTGCTCTCCCATGCTTCGTAGCAGTGTCAGGCCACTCAGCAGCCTAAGGGCACACTCTACTGTATTCCAAGTTTCACCGAGAAGCAGTGAGCAGCCTCACCAGGAAGCAACCATGGGGCTGACACACTTGCACTGGGTCCTGGTTTTGCTGCTTGCCTGTTGGCCTAAAGGATGTAACTACAGAAGGAGCTGTTTATCCCATGATTCAGCCTGCATTAAAGAACAACCCACCTCCATAAGCAGCAGAAATATGTGATAGTAAATTATGATCACCAAGCTACAGGGGGGGCCTGGGGAAGATCTTCTACGTTAAGCTACAGAACAGCATGTTACATCCTTGCTTGCTGCAGCCTTACTCACTTGCGATCAAATTCCCTGTAGGCATCCCGCAGCCAGCTCAGGGATGGCTTGTTCTCACTGGTCAGGCCATGGTGCAGGTACACCAGTGTGTAATCACTCTCCACATACTGGTCCAGCGTGAATTTCAGGTACCTGAGAAGAGACAACTGCTGAACTCACTTCACGTTCTGCCATAGAGAGGCTCTTCCTCCCTTTGGGACTCATTTTTGTGTGCTGTAACAGAGGATTTGCATCCCCAGCAATGGAGGTAAGCACATTGGGAGGACATGTCCAGCTAAAGAAGCTACTGCAGATAGATCTGGTCCCAGGAATCCAGCACCTGGGAATTATGTCAGGCTTAAGAAGTTAACAGCAGCCTCCTAAGACACTACTCACCCCAGCAGTTTCATGTGATCAAGTTGATGACTTGGGGGCATCCGGCAGGCACTGAACAAAATTACTTTCCTTCCGTATTTGTCATCACCTGCAAATGAAATGCCAGAGATTACAGGGAGTTTAAGGACTACATTGTGGTCTTGGCAGCAAGGGGTAAACACAGAATGGGAAACCGCCATAACAAGGCAGAAGTCTGGATTGCCACAGCTGCCAGCAAAGCTAAACCTGATTTTCAGCAGAGTTACCACAGGCCTAGTACGGAAGCAGAAACCTGAACACCAAGGGCCTGGCAAGTCAACAATGCGAATGGAGAACAGATCCCATGCTCCAGCCCTGAAAGAAGAGGAAGGATTGGAAGCCAGGATGCCTCGGGGCACGTAGGGATGGAGGCCTCAAGTACAGAGCAGAGTGCTCAGAGCATTAATCCTGCAGCGCTGCCCCTGGGCACTGCTCCTGAAGCACGTGTGTCCAGGGAGGTACAGAGAAAACTGCCCCTCACAGGCACAATAACCATTCCTTTTATCCTGCACACAGTCCCAGACTAACTGCTTGTGGTCTGGTGCATTTGTTTCTTGCTTCACCTGAAGCTTAGTCCTGCACACAGAACAAAGCCATTTCATACCCTGGAAACCATGAAATTCCTAGAAACAGGGCAGTCCCAGCCACATCCCAGAGATGAGAAGTAAGCATCATCGTAAGTCTCTTCTACGTTTGGACCAAGTAGGGCTGCTGGATTCTCCAGGGGGATTGCAGAACAAGCTGTTCACTGCTTCCTAGATTTTCCATCCAGAGAGATATTTTTCCAACCTGAGCTGGAAGGAGCTGCAAAGTGCGGCACAACAAAGCATTCTATGTAAAAACTCAGCAGAAAGCAGTCCCCACCGCATTGGAGCCAAATAACCCATAAAGCACCCTCATCTCTGGGAGGACACTCCCAGCCACCACTTGAGGCTTCAGAGACAACAAGCCAAGTTTTCCCCAAAGCAAGTCTTCATACGTCAGTGGACTTCTGCCAGCAGAGATCTCAGTCCCATGAACAAAACCCGAGCAGATGGGCATGGACAAGTTTAGCAGACATGCTAGGGGAATTGAGAGATTTAGATAAGTAAGAACCAGGTCACAAATCTTTTGGACATACGGAGTTTGAGGGAAAGTCTGGTTCTCTCCCAGACACAACACCCAATCCATTTCCATAAGGATGACTTGCTTTTTAGCACCAGTGAAGATGAAATGGTTCCTTTAATGTGAAGGGTTAAAGTCTTCCCATCTTTCTTGCTACTCACCCTGCTCCAAGAGCTGTTTTCTTGTCACGCAGAAGGAGCATAGAGCAGTGGAAGGGGCTACTGAGGTTATACTCAACAACACCCTCCTTCCTCCCCTACGGCACAACCATCTCATACAGACCACAGCACAGAAAAGCAGCAAGGATCGCTACTTATGCAGGACAGCCCTGCAATACATCATTCCTCTCAAAATATATCCTTTTCCCCACACTGATTTACAATATTCAGAGCATGCAGCCATTTTCTCACCTTTGCGTGGGCTCTGGCCCTCAACTACCGCTTGGTTACACTTGCCGTGCAGCAACTGAAATCTCAGACTGAACCCTGGAACAGCAAACCTGAAGTTTCTGGGAACATTGCCTGCTAGTAACAGATGACCACCTGGTGCTGCAAATGGCAGCCAGAGAATTCACATACACAAGCCATGACATTAAGATGCCACTAACCCTCTTTTACCCCCATCCTGACCAGAAGAACAGATTCTCTTGCTACTTTTTCACTTATATTTTTCCCTCGCAAGTCCCATTTTCAAGTCACTCACCAGACAACACAAGAGACAGAATTTACTGATGCACACAAGCCAGAACCTCTAAAAAAGCTAGGGACACTGAGGCAGCACTAGGTACAGACCAGGAAAGGGGTGGCATAGGCCATCACATTGACATACACATGCGGAGGTAAGGGGCGATTAGGGAGGACGCATGACCCAGAATGCAGGACTAGGAGAGAGTGATGCAAGGCTCATCTGGAACAACCAGATACAGTCACAGCCAGGCCACAAGACCAACATCACATTGCATATCCCACGGTAGCCCACTCTCTGCCTAGCCCAGAGTTTCTTGGTAGCTTGCTATGAGCTTTAGGGCTGGGTCTAATGCACATAAGCTGTCTATACAACAAAGGTGCAGGCTACAAACTCCTGGGCAGGGAATATGGCATATTGTGACTCTTCCCAGTGGTCTTGAGCCACTCGTATGTCTCCATCTGGAAGACAAAGGGTCTTGCTTGCACAGAGCAGCAAGAAGATGGTAGCATCTGAGAATCTGTTGAGTTTTGTAGTGATGAAAGAGAATGGTCAGAAAGACTACAGATGTTTACAGATCATAGCTCTGTGCCATGTGTCAGAATAGGTGCTATCTTCAGTTAACTGAGAGGCTGCATTTCACACCAGAGTAAATGGTCTGAGGGCGAGAAGCAGATTGCAAGCTTGATCAAAGCAGGCCTTGGCTGTGAAGAACTGCAGTACAGCACCATGTTCATGAGATGTGGGCAGCCACACACTCAGAGACTACAGATGTTTACAGATCATAGCTCTGTGCCATGTGTCAGAATAGGTGCTATCTTCAGTTAACTGAGAGGCTGCATTTCACACCAGAGTAAATGGTCTGAGGGCGAGAAGCAGATTGCAAGCTTGATCAAAGCAGGCCTTGGCTGTGAAGAACTGCAGTACAGCACCATGTTCATGAGATGTGGGCGGCCACACACTCAGCTCAGGCTCCTGGGCACTGATTTCCAGACCTGACAAGTCACAAGTCAGGAACCACATAGCTTAAACACCTTCCTCTGGAATGACGTGAAAGCCTATGGCAGGGCCTATGCAAAGTCTAGAATCTCGTTCCTTATATAGCCTTGGTGAAAAGGCCTGGGATCGCTGGTAAAGAAAAAACAGACGATCCATGATTCTGCCAAAGGGGAGATGGCATGTTTCCCCTGGAAAATTTCCAGGGCCAAGTACACCAAAAGATAATCTATAGTCCTCTGGATGACTGAAAAAGGAGTGGCCCGTTTTGCCTTCCAAATCAGAATGAATTTATGCGTGAGACCTACACAGGAACCAGCATGCCCATTACTGAGTTCTGGGTTTCACTCCAGTTTCATCACACTGAGCTCAGCCTGTCAACACAGACACTTTCAAAACAACCAGCTGCCAATCTTGTTTCCACCTGACATATATCAGATCAGTCTGGTTCCTCCAGACATGACAAAATTCAAAATTCAGCATCAAAGCTGAACAATCAGTTATTCCAATTTATAAACAAGAACCTAAAGCCCACTCCATGCATTCTTGGCTGTTGGAGGAAACTGCCTGCAGGTGGCCTCTCTGCCTCAGACCAAACAGATTCTTATCGCGTTTGATCTTTCCCAGATGCTCCATCCCTTGTACTGTTCGCTCTCCTGTTTGCAATATTAATCTTATGTACCTAGGTTTTCACCCCTTGTTTGCAATTGCAAATAGCTAAAGTTTCCATTGAACACAACTATAGACCATGAAGCAATCACTCAGCTTCTCAGGCTGTCTCCTCTCCCAGATGAGGAATGCTCAACAACAAACCAGCGAAGAAGCAATTATATACCATCAGTACTCACAGAGCACCCAACAATGTGCATACCTTTGTAAGTTCATACATAAAAAATATTTTCAATCTACACTGGAATTAAACTACCTCCCCATAGGATGTAATTCAGAGATTTTTTTTTTTTTAACAACAAAGAGCAAGACAGTAGCCAACACGCAAAGCCTCTCCAGTCAAGACAGCTGCTCATCTAAAGAGATACTAACTTGTAGCACTGATGGACATGCTAATTCTCCTGAACACTGTTATGGCGCTTTTAAGGCCCAAACTCAGTTTTTCCTCTCACCCGAAGAGCAGCATTTCCAGTGCACTTCTGAGACAAGGGGCAAGGAACATCATTGCTGTGGTTCCAAGCCATCAGTGCAGGACCATACTTCTAAAAGAGCTGAAGTTTAAATACTGAGGCTAATGTTTCAGATTGAAACCTGCAGCAATACAAATGTATCAGAACAGAAACTCATGTCAAGGTAGCAGTACTGTCCTGAGACAGGATTCTCTATTAAATGAATCTGTACAGCCAACACGGAAAATACATGCTTGACTTGCAAATCCTGCTATGTATTTCTAGGTATTTCTCCTGAAATGTATCCATTAGGCTTTATGCCATGATTGGAAGCTGTCATACTACTCACTGGCAGCATAACTGCAGCCCAGGGATCCTGCTCATTCCTACGTTCATCAGGTACCCTCAGCTGAGGGCTCACCTCGATGAAAGATTCAAAAGGGAATATCCTGGTACTTTGATACTGAGAGAATGCAGACGGATAAAACTTGCCACCAAAAGCTGGTGTTATTGGTAAAACAGCAAAATTAACAGAGTTCAGGGCCAAGGAAAGGACACCGCTACGTAATTCTGGAACATTACTACACAAGTTTCACAAAGCTTAGGATGTTTATCAGAGCCACTGTCAGTAAAAAACTTCTCTAATGTAATTTCAGGTTCCTGCCAAACTTATGACATAGCTGGGCAGTATTTAAGTATAGTAGATTTTAGCTGCCTGTTGAATTCCAAAGTGGATGTAGCCCCTCAGGAAAAGAAGGTAAGGAGCTCCAAGTAGAAGTATTTTAACACGGTATCTTCCACCTATAGGGTGGAATTTTGGATATTCCCAATATCCAAACACTGCCAGAATAAAGCCTTACCAAGCACCTACAGCTCTGATACAAAATATACTAGAGGGTCAGATTAAAGAATGCAAAATGGGAGGATGCCTGAGAGCACGGCAAACGGGGGAGCAGAGCCCACATAATGAGGCAGGAAGGATCAGCATTTCCATGGACTGTGTGAAAGTCTTGGCCTGCTGTTCAGAAATAGCCGAAAGAATTTCACACCAAAAGAAGTTTTCATCTACACTGAGAAGTGTGAAAGCACCAGCAGCCAAATTCTTAAGGCTTGGGACTGAAGTCCAGAGAGTATTAACAAATGCTCAGCAAGCACAGAGCAGTCTAGC